CTTACTGACATAAATGAACATTTGCACGATATTCTAATTTTTCGAGTTTCACCTGTAGATGGGAGTCAAGAAATCCCTGGGCTGTTGACTAAACCGGGGAAGCAAAAAACAAAAACAAAACAAAAGCCAGAAAGAAAGATATGGCAAACCACTTCTATATCAATGCTGAGAAAACTGTATGAGGTTGCCAGGAGTTAAGCTCAGCTCAAAAGGAGACTTTACTCTCTCAACTGTAAACACAAGACCTCCAAGCTTGCTTTTTCTATCCTCTTTCACAATTCTTTTTTCCTTATCTTTTATACAGATAAACCCGAGAGTAAGACTATCTATGTAGGTCGCTTTGCCAACTCTAAAAGGTCCTTGGGCCACACAGGACTGCACCTCAGGAATTTTTGATAATGTGTCAAGAAAGTATGAAACTATCAAGAGAAACAAAAGTATATTAGGAACTTTGCATGGTTTCAGTCTTAAGTACCTATTTTCTTCAATATGGTACACTTTTGTTGGAGATGGAGAGCAAAATCATAGAAGTAACTGCTAATATATATTTTGTTTCAATCACAAAAGAAACAGCCTTGCACTTTCATGGAATGCAACTGCTTTGGGAGAAAGCAAAGTAGTTACTAAAGAAAATACAATAAGGCTCCAGTGGTTCCTTGAACAGTTTTTGGTATGATGCTCTTTCCTTAAACAAACTATAAAACCTATTTCAGCATTATGCATTTATAACTCTTCTTCATCCACATGCTTAAGAAATAAATGCTGATAGACTATTCTACAGGGAATGTATTCTCACAAAAGCAAATAAATTATAAATGTCTACTTGAAAGAACACTGTAACAAAGGAGACTTTTTTAAAATGTGGCTCTGTTGAACTATTATCTTGAAGAAATTCTCCCCCAGATTCTACCCTCCCCACCATTTTTAGAAAATACTTTAAACCTGCTACACTGTCAGCACCTTTGCCTTGTACAGGTGAGCAGAGAAGAACAAGAAGAATTGCAGTTATTTATTTATTCACTTAATTACCATATCTTGCATGCTATTCAGTTCAAAATGGCTCCAACCAGCTTACATAAAGGAACAAAAATGTAAAATAAAATCATAACAATCTAAATACCAAACTACCCCTAACTAGTCCATGTAACAAAGTTATGTCAATCTTAACTTCATTGTTCCCAAATGCTTTCCTGAAGAGACATGTTTCAAAGTTCTTCTGAAACCCAACAAAGAGGGGTAAGATGTTCCACATCGCTTTATTTATGTATTTATGTATTTATTTATTATTTATATTTGTTATGGCTGCCTACTCCAGCAGACTCTGGGCAGCTTATAAAATTCAAAAGACAATAAAAACAGTCCAGGCTAAATAGCCATGACAGTAACAAGAAACCACAACAGGAACCCCATAAACACATTAACCCCAGGACTGGGACCAGAGCCAAGTCTGAAGGGCTTCCCAGAACCCCAGGAGAGCACTGTCCATATCTCTGGGGGGGATGCTATTCCAGAGGGTGGGGGCTATGACAGAGAAGGCCCACTTCCTCAGCCCCACAAGATGGCAATGTTTAATAGAGGGAAGCTGGTATGCACCCACTCTGCCAGAACTTATCAGAGAGGCAGAAACAACTGGAGATAGGTGATCCCTCAGATATCTAGGCCCTATGCCATGAAGGGCTTTAACAGCACCTTGAATTGCACCTGGAAGCTGACTGGCAACCAGTGCAGCTCATGTAGCATCAGTGACACATGAGCATAATGAAAAACACACGTTACTGCTTGCACCACTGCATTTTGAACTACAGTGGTACCTTGGGTTACAAACGCCTCTGCTTACGAACTTTTCGGGTTGCGACCAGCTCCGGCTGCAAAAATTTACCTCGGTTTGT